TGCACGCCAGACATGTTCCCAGGGTGTGCTGCGTTGACCAGTGGGAGGACCGCTGCCCCAGGACCACTGCCTCAATTCAGGTCACCAGTTGCCCCAGGTCACCTAGCAGGCCTGGGCCTGGGATTCCCTTGTTTTATTTTTAGTTTTCTGAGACAGGGTCTCACTATGTAACCTAGGCTGGTCTTACTCACAGTGTAGTCCAGGCTGGCCTCGAAATTTTGGCGATCTTCCTGCCTCAGCCTTCAGGGTGCTGTGATTACAGGAGTGCGCCACCACTCCTGCCAATCCCAGGATTCCTGGCTCCCTAACACTGACCTTTGACAGCCAGCAAATATCCAGCCCAGGACAGTCACACGGTCCCTTGATGCAGAGAACTGGGACAGTACCTGTTTGCCATGAGCGAATGTGTTTTCCCATTTTCTATTTCATATGTCATTTCCAAGGGTCAGAATTCAAAACAAAGCACAGCTTGCAGCAGGTCTGGTCTGGCAGCTCGCCTCCTGTCTCTGGAGTGAAGAACTCCGGCTCTGTCCAGAGGAGCAGGTTCCTGTGCCATCACTGCCTGGCCAGTGCACTCCTTACACAGCGACACCCCAGGGCCGCGAGTGCCCCCAGCCTTCCCAGAATCCTGCATTAGTCACAGGAGCCACAGGGTGCTCAGGTGCCCGTACCCCCATCACTGACTGGTGCCTGAACTATGTATGGCCTGCTCACCAGACACCATTAGGCACCCAGCACCCTGAAAGTGCCAGAAGAAGCCTGCAGGGGAGCAGGTGGCCCTAAACACAGAGAACCTCAAGCAGAGCGGTCACCACAGCCTCTTTCTGCCTCCTCGCTCTGCCTGGCAGAGAAGCAGGAGTTTCCAGCCCTGCTCCAGGGGCAGAGCCCACAGGGGCTGAGCAGGGCCTCCTTGCCTTCGATCTTCGGGGTAGTAAGTAGGAAGCAGGAAGCCCCCTTGGCCTATGCCTGCCTTGGTCAAGGCTGCTTGTGCCCCAGCCTTCCTCCCTGCAGCCACTGAACAAACACTTCATGGCAGCAGAACCCAACCCTTCGCACACCCCCGGCCACATGATCATGTGATAAATAATTCCTGTGTGGGGGTCAGCAGTGCACGCAGGCACCCGGATAGTCCATCACCGACTGGCAGAACTCAGCTCAATAAACAGATGCCAGAACAAAAGGCCCATGCGTGGTGGGACCATGAAAATCAGCATCACCCCAATCCCACAGTGACCACTCGCATGTCTGGCAACACCCCAACCCTGGGGGTACTCCTGCCTGGTCTTCAGCTGTGGTCTTCACTCCCTTGCACCTCCACTTTGGGCTGGGCCTGGGATCTGCAGAGTGCTGGCTCATGCTGGGATGCGAGCACTGTGCTGAATCTTTGTCCCCACCACACTTTGCTTGGCTCTGCATAATAGCCAGGGTTTAAAGAAGAAAGAAAAATAGCCATGATTTAGCAGTCATCCAGACTAGAAAATAACTGCCACTTTAGTTGGGTGGGAGTGGTGGCACTCCGGGATCCCAGCACTCTGGGAGGCTGAGGCAGGAGGATTCAAAGTTAGTGCCCAGCCTGGGTAACCTAGTGATGCAGTGAGAATTTGTCTCAAAAATATTTTTAAAGGGTGGAGACTTCAAATCAGTGAAAAGACGTTGGCTTCAACCCCCGACTTTTGGTTTTTTTTTGGTACCGGGGATTGAACTTGGGTCCTTGCACTTGCAAGGCAGGCCACTGAACCGCTGAGCTAAATCCCTGCCAACCCCCGCCCCCCGCCGATTTTTGGATATGTGTGTTGGGTTGTGGCTCACTGTATAGGCCAGGTTGGTCTTGACTCAGAGCAACCCTTCTGCCTCAGCCTCACCAGTGCTGAGATTACAGATGTGCAGTACTACACTCAGCCATAGAAAACAGCTTCTGTGTAGTCTCGGGGAGCCCAGGGTAACCACTCTTCCTCCCTGGACCAGTTAGGTGAGGGCGCCACTCCCACTGAGTCTGTGGACCTTGAGGACAGGGAACCTGGCTACCTGGTGCACGACAGGGCACTGAGCTCTCAGCCCTCCCAGGGACAGAAGGAGGGACAGGGGATGGGGTGGGGTGGGCTAAGCCCTGCCACCTGCTGAACCCCTGTGATGGGGGCCACGAGGAATGCAGGAGGCTCGACTGACCTCAAGCCTGGGGTTTGAGAACTCCCAGCCCTGATCACATCTAGAAGATGCAAGTTCCTCTAAGGAGAGGGCACAATGGCTTCTCCCACCAAGTCCGCACCAGCTAGGACCCTCCCAGGCCAACACTGATGGGCAGAAGTAGGAAGAGGAAGAACAGGGAGGGAGTGGAGAGGAGACAACGATGTTCACAGGGAGACGGGCCCGGGGCCGAGGGGCAAGGACTTGAGAACCTAGGAGTTTGGAGCTACCCACAAGAGGGAAGGTTGACCGCAGGAAGAAAGTATGTCTCAGAGAGACAAGTCACAAAAAACTTGGATGTCGTAACCATAACCATAATCCCAACCCCTAACTGAAATCCATAAACTAACCCTAATCATTAACTCTAACCCCTGACCCTTAACCCAACCCTACTCCAACTGTAACCCCTGACCCTAACCCATCACCTTGTGTAAAAGTCATTCCACAGAGAGCTTCACTGTGTGATTTCAACTCCAAGATGCTCTTAGAAGGGAAAAACCAGGAGGCTGGAAAGCAGCAGTGGTTGCCAGGGTGATGGATGGGGGGGGCAGAGTAAATTAATTGATTTCACTGCTTCACTTTATGCCCCTGGATCCCCAAATCAGCTTTACTTTGAGAAGTGGCCCGTCATAAGGTCATTCTTTTTTCTTTGCCCAGCATTGCAGCTTCTAAAAGATAACCTCACCCTACTCCTTTTGTAAACCCAGGGATACATCCTCAGCTGTTTTTTGAGACAGGACCCCCCTAAATCATCCAGGCTGGGCTTGAACTTGAGATCTTCCTACCTCAGCCTTTGATGGCTGAGATACTCTTATTCAGAACATGGGGATAACTGGTGGTTTTCACATAGCATCAAAGTGTGAGCTGAAAACTTGATAATCTTGTTCTCTAATCAGAAGAGTGATGTTCAACTTGTATAATCTGTTCATCCAAAAGATTACACAAGGGGGCTGGACCACAGGCCCTGAAAACAAAAAGGATTTGTGAAGGTCATTTGCCATGGCAAAGATGATTTAACTCAAGAGCAAGCACCCCTGAATGAAGATGGCCTGTCAAGTGACCAGATGGCACGGGGCAGGTGGCCCTTCTGTTCATTAGCCCACTACCCCCTTCCCTCCTCATCAAAACATTTTACCTAACAGAATCTTCCAGGCATGAGGATAAGAACTTCCCACGATTTTCCAGGGAAACCTGGTGCATCCTAATAAAAGCCTGTTTCCTCCCACTGACGTGCACCATGGATGCTGCCGAAGTGCGGTGAGCTAACCTTAAAAGGCCACACACACAGGATGTGCGGGGCAGATGCTCTGTGTGAGGCTGTGCTGTGATATATGCCGTCCCGCAGACGGTCCGAGCCTACGATGGCTGCCTTACAACAGACAATGTCACTGGCACGTTTTGGATACAGGTATTTGGTAACTTACATGACACAGTCCACACTTTTTTATCAAATAGATTTTGCAGTAGATGATCTCGCCCAACTGCAGGCAAAGTGTTAGTGTCCTGAAGTCATTTAAGGCAGGTTAGGGCAAAGCAATGATATTCTGTGCGTGAGTTGTATTAGATGCACCCGCCGCCCTCCCCTCTTGGACACCACCTTTGCACCGAGCCTCCTCCTCTGCCCCTCCTATTTGTTATTTTGAGATAGGGTCTCACTTAAGTTGCCCCAGGCTAGGCTTGAACTTGCCATCCTTGGCATGCACCACCACACCTGGATTAAATGCATTTTCTGACTTCAGGATCTTTTCAACTCACTGTGGGCCTATGGGGATGCAACCCTGTTGTAACGAGGCCCATCTGTACATTGGACAAAACTCAGAGGGTGCACAGTGCAGAAAGAACCTTTCTGTAAACCAGGACAGGACAGCAGCCGTGACAAATGAGCCACAGTAAGGTGATGTTAACGCTGGGGTGGCGGGGGTTGGGAGGACCTGCAGACTCTGTCCTCTGGGCTTAACTCTTCCACAGACCTAAAGGCATTCTTAAAAATAAAGTTTATTAATGAACAACAACAAAAATAACAAACATCACAACTGAAAGCAAAAGCCAAGTGGGCCGGCTAGAGTAAGATCAGTCTGCGCACATCCTGGTGGCCGGCACAGGTCACAGGCAGAGTGCCCTCGAGCTGTGGCTGCCACTCAGCTCCCAGCCTCTGCCACAAACCCTCGAAAGGTCATTTAGATGGACTTCCTCCCCTGCTCACCAGAGTAAGAAGCCTTTTCGGTCCACATCTTTGGTGCAAAAAGACATCTCTCTAAAACAATTTGGGGTGCCTGCCTGGAGAATCCAGGTGAGGCTGTTACTTTTAGGTGAGGCACCAAGAACACGTGCTCTGCTGAGGAGCGCTTCTCCAGTCCCAAGGACTCCGAATGCTGAGCCGGGCTTCCCACCCAGGCTGGCTGGAGGGACGGGAGCTGCCTGCCTCCCACTGGAAGGAGACCTCCCCAACCCCAGAAGGGCAGAAGGGGCACAGCTGCACCCCAATTGCCCCCAGAGCCTTTCCTTGTGTCCAAGATGAGTCACATTCTCTGGGGCCAGGACTCTTATCACAGTCTGGCAGCCACAGGCCCCAGAAACTACTGAGGTCACGTGGCCTGGTGGCAGGAGGATTCTCAGTGCTGGTGCACAGTGAGTGTTCGGTGTGAGAGAGGCTACCATGGGAAACTGGGGTGACCCAGGACTTACTTTATCACTATTCCTTTTTGTACTTTCACATTAATGTGAGCATGGGCTGGAATCCTGTATCGGTCCAGCTTTTCCATTGCTGGGACAATGCCTGACACCCACAATGTAAAGGAGGAGAGGTTTTATTTGGCTTACAGTTTGGGGGATTCAGTCCATGGTCGGCTGGCTCCTAGGCAGGAACATCATGGCGGAAGGGCCTGGAAGAGGGAAGCTGCCTAGTTCATGGCTGCCAGCAAGCAGAGCAAGGGAGCAGCAGCAGAGGAAAGGGCCAGGGACCAGACACAGACCCACCCAGACACACGCAGAAGTGTGCTCCACCAATCCCCCCAGCGGGCCCCAGGCCAATCAAGCTGACCCTCTACCCTGACCGCCAGAGTTCCCATCCATTGCCTTACTGGCTCAGGGACCTTCAGGAGGTGTGAAGGGGGCTTTATCAACCTGGTCTCATGGGACAGTGTCACGATGAGCCTAAGCGAAAGGCCAAGCCCAACCACACAGCAGGACCCTCCCTCCTTGAACACTCAGGCTGAGTTTCCTGTGCACTGAGTCAGCAGCACACAGCTACCCTTCATTCTCAACAAAGAGAGGGTTGCAGGGCCCCCCAGGAGACACGAAAATCCACGCAGTCGTAGCCCTTACCTTAAATGGCATGGCATTGGCCTGTAACATGTATACATCCTGCCGTATGCGTTTTTATTTGGGACAGGGCTCACTGTGTTGTCCAGGCTTGTCTTGAATTCCTGGACTCATATAATCCTCCCACCTCAGCCTCCTGAGGAGCTGGGACTATGGGCATCCACAAGCAGGCCCAGCGTCCCATAAAGTCAGACAATCTCTAGATGACTTACGACACCTAGTACAGCGTAAATGCTTCATAAATAGTGGTTATACTATATTGTTTAGGGGATAATAACAAGGGGGAAAAAGCACGTATGTTTAGCACATATGCAATTTAAAAAAAGATTTTTTTTTTTATCTGAGGCTGGCTGAGTCCATGGATGTGGAAGGCAGCTATAAATTCCTATGGCTATGGACAGCTGTGTACCATTCAGAGCAACACAGGGAGCCTCTGGGCGAGGAATTTGATGGCAAGCAGGAGGACAAGATGTCCTTGTGATGGAATTCTTGGGCTCCAGGAAGTGCCCAGAAGCGGAAATGTTGCTGCAAAGACAGAGTCTAGCAAGGGAGTCAGGGGACAGGGGGTGGCAGAAGGGTTTGCAGAGATGCCAGGTGACTCTGCGGGGCTGCAGCCGGGATGGGACGGGCAGGTGGGAACAAGGACCCGGGCACGCATGCGCAGCCTCGAGGAAAGCGTCTCAAGCTCACTGCAGCCAGGCAGGTTTATCTGTTTATTTTTTTTTTTTTCAAAACAAAACTAAAAATCACCAGTCAAAATCCTTGAGAATCAGTTAAAAGCTTTCTTCTATCTGCAGCCAGTGAGCTGGAAATGCCTGGAGCTGGTGGTCGGGAGGCTGTCTCTCCTCCCTCCTCTCTGCCTCAGCGCCGTCCATCTGCCCCCCACCCCACGCTGCCACCAGCCTGGTGAGGACCGGACTCCTTCTGCTGAGCCTGGGGCGGCGCATTCTCCCGGACTTCCGATGTGACCGCCATGCCCACTCTGAAGAGCTCCTCCAGTGTCACTGTCCCCCAGGGGTGGTGATGTCCCTGGAGGAGGTGAGAAGGGCCCGCCCCCTGCTGTGCCCTCCCAGGTCCCAGGGGAGAAATCCCCTTGTCTCTTATCACCGCTCCTGCTTGATGTTGGCTTCGCTGCGCTCCAGGGTGACCTCGCTGCGGTCTCGAGGCCCGTCCTTCTTGCCCCAGTCCCTCTCTATGTAAAACTCGGCCAGCACAGGGCAGTGCTCGGAAGCCACTCCACCCCAGGACCAGTTATCCGGGATCCACGGGTTCGTGAGTCCTTCTCTCACCACGGCCCAGTGACCTGGAGGGGAGGGAGACACCCAGAAGTCAGGACAGGAACGGTGAGGTTGCAGGTGGTGCCCCAGGTCAGCATAAGGAAGCTGCTGGGCCCAGGCAATCGGCCAACACAACTTTCCACACAAAAAAGGGCTCACACATGTAGGCACTGAAAATACCCAGAAGCTAGGCCTCCAGTCCTTCAGATACAGTAAGGAGACCACACCATTTATGGATTGCTACTAGTTTGACCAGCAAAATATGTATTTCAGCCAGGTGTGGGGGTACACGTCTATAATCCTGGCACTTTGGGAGGCTGAGGAGGGAGGATCACAAGTTCAAGCCCAGCCTGGGCAACTTAATGAGACCTTGTATCAAACTGAAAAACTAAAAAGGGGTTGGGGATGCAGCTTAGTGCAAAGGCCCTGGATTCAATCCCCAGCCCTGCAAAACAAAACAAAACAAAAAAAGTACTTGACTCGGGGTCAGATGCCTCACGAGATGTCTCCAGTGAAGGTTTTATTTTGTAAAGCATGACACTAAAGTGGGAGGTGGTGTGTGTGTGTGTGTGTGTGTGTGTGTGTGTGTGTATGCTATGAATTCTACAGGGGTATCAAAAAGAGTAATTTAGGCTTATGAGAAAGGAAAGGCATTTTTAAAAGGTAGACTTAGAAACACACTAAGTTGGAGGTCTACTTGACAGCAATTAGAGTCACAGAAGCAGTCACAGCCTGTCATAGGCACTCTGCGGGCCCCGGTCCTGGGCAGTGTTGAGGTCAGGGGCTGGCTGCAGGTTTGGGCTGGGGACGGAAGGGTCTCTCCCTTCCTCCCACCATATATGTTCAGCCTCAGTCTCTCTCAGGCTCTGGGGGGGACTGGGGGTACCAGCTCTGATGACTTTTCCCTGCCAGGTGCCGTAGAGTCCAGCAGGAAGCCAGCACCCAGAGGAAGGGGCTGGTGACACAGTGCAGACTAAGGATGTCGGCCTGGCTGCTGCATGTAAGCCTCTCATGTTGGGACACGGGCGTTGCTCTTTTTCTGAGATTTTTTTTTTTTTGGTACCGGGGATCGAACTCAGGTCCTTGTGCTTGCGAGGCAGGCCACCGAACCACTGAGCTAAATCCCCAGCTTAGTTTTACCATTTTTGTTGAAGTACAACATGGGCTTGTTGCAACTCTGTAAAACGTTGTTCTTGTCTTTCATCAAGGACCCTGCTGGAGGGCTGGAGGTAGAGTACTCATCTTTAGCATGTGTGGGCCTTGGGTTCCAACCTCAGCACTGCCACAGCATCTCTGATGAGGGACAAGTGACCTAAACAGCAGGCCCGTAAACGTCCACAGAGGAGCTGACATCTTCAGACAGGACTGGGGTCCCCGACTCTCCTCCAGAACAGGAGGAAGCAGGGCTGCCGTCTGCTTCCCTTACCTGTGAACATCTTCTTCAGGCTTTTGCTGATCCAGATGTTGTCCAGGGACTTGGAGCCTTGGGGGTTTTTGGTGCTGATGTTGGTGAAGATGTGCACCGGGATGAGGTGGTGGAATTTCTCTCTCCTCAGGATATCGTAGTCACTGCTATCTGGCCCCTGCCCAAAATCCCCTAATATGATGACATCTTTTTCTCCTAGAAGTACAAGGACGAAAATCAGGAATTAAAGAGCGGGTGAAGAGAGAGACCTGACATTGTCCCTGACACCTTGAAATGGGAAGGTGATTCCCTGATTTCACTCCCCAGCCTGAGGACGGAGGCATGGTCTCATCGCGGCATTTCCAGATTTTCCGTGCCGCCCTCTCCCCAGTCTGCAAGAGCAGGGCTAGTGTAATACAGAAACCACCCAGGTTGGAGCTCTTGGGGTCTGGTTTCACTGTGGAAAAAGCCCAAGCATCGTGCTGGATAGGTAACATTAGCATCAGCTCAGTATGTTTTTTCCAGAGCACCCAGGTGGGCCACAAATTCAGAGAGAAGCAGAACAGCTGCCCTCCAGGGGCACACAGTGGGCTAGAGGAAAGATGGGGACAGAGTGCACGGGCAGAACCAGGATACAGAGATAGCACAGGGAAGGGTGGCCTAGGCAGAGGCGGCAGTGGCCTTGGGTCTCAGAGGATACACAGGCTTCAGAGCAATGAGATGAGAGAGAACCTGTGCTTTGGCAGGAAGTCCCCAAACAGCCTGGTTTCCAGGGTAACACCTGGAGCAGCTGATGCTTCTCCAGACAGGTTATCAAGAAGCCAAATGCCCCAGATGAAGGCTGGAGGTGTGAGCGCTGACCACTTGTGCCTGACTGGCAGGTGCTCTATCTGTGGAAGTTCAACTCGAACCCCGGACCAGGAAAAGGCTGGTCTCCTGGCATTCGTGGGCAACCACAGTGTGCACTTTCTATGGCGATGTTTGTGGGTCTCCATTCTCTGGCTGCTGCTCACTTCTCAACTGCTGCTAAAACTTACCGCTGTAACAAGGCTGAAGTGAGAATCTCACTCCAAAATCAGAATTCTAGTTTAAAAGCAAGGCTATCATGGATTCTGGATAGATTTACCAGCGTGCTCTGCTCATACCCCACAGGGGACATGAGGAGCCTCTCCCCACATCCTACCAATCCTGGGTAGTCTCGCCAAAACAAGGGCACAGCTTCCTTCTGTTGTAAGAAAACCAGTTGCCTTCAAGTTATGTGGTGTTGTGGGCAGGGGCAGCTCAATTGTAAGTGCTCGCTTAGTATGTGTGAGGCCCAGGGCTCCATGGCCAACCCTTTACTGCGTGCTAGTGTACATGTGTGTAATTCTGCTGCAGAAAAGGTTTCTCTCTTCTTCGCTGCTTATTACTTTGCTCAACCACTTATTTATGCCAGTTATGGACTCACGTGCTTCTGCAACTTGTTAAGGACTTTGTTAACAGCTCAGCGTTTTCCACCTTTGGTCTTTGGGGTTCTTTCTGTTGGCTCCTTACTCCTGCTCACACACACCCGCTGTGTTTTTTGTTGAGTGTTTTCTTAAACACATTTTTTTGTACTGGGGATCGAATTTGGGTCCTTGCATTTACAAGGCAGGCACTGAGCTAAATCTCTGGCCCCAAACGCTTTCTTTTTTTGGTTGTGGTGGTGGTGGGGGGTTGAGACAGGGTCTCACTATGTAGTTGAGACTGACCTGGAACTATGTAGCCCAGGCTGGTCTTGCACTCACAGCGATACTCCTGCCTCAGCCTCCCGAGTGCTGGGATTACAGGTGTGCACCACCACGGCCAGTGCCCAAGCACTTTCTTACTTATGCTCTACGATGCTCCAGGACCATCGTGTATCTTTTCTTCCCTGGTCCTAGAAGTGGTCACTTCTCAGAGGGTCCTGGATCTTTGATCAGAGAGACGCTGGAAACAAGAGGGTGGGCTGGGGTCTTTGCTGTGTCCTACGCTGCACAGGGAACTAGTGGTTTATTGACAGAAGTGCATGAAGTCTTCAAAGACTAAGAACAGTGCGTCTTTATCACATATAGGAACTGGTCTTTCCCCAAGCTCCTCATCTGCCTTATTTGGTCTATGGCCAAACTGCAGCAGAGATATTTAATTTTTCTTTTAATGCATTATCATTAATAAAATGTCCCTATACAGACTCCAAAATCAAACTACAAGCTCCCTTTACGGTTTCATTTTCACATTTCATTCCTTTTTTTTTTAACAATTGATCTTAGTCAAAAGACTGAGAAGCAATTTTTTTTGGGGGGGGGTCAGGGTCTCGTTATACAGTTCAGGTTACCTTGAGCTCACTAGGTAGCCCAGGCTGGCCTTGAACTCACAGCCATCCTCCTGTGTCAGCCTTCCAAGTGCTGGGATCACAGGCGTACACCACCACACTCAGCTGATTTTTTATTTTAAAATTACAATTTGAATGTTTAGTAAGCAAACTAATAATGTCCTTCACATTTGTGTCCTGAGCTGGCCACAGGAAGCCGGCCCTGTGTCTCCTGAGACTTTGCCCATGCATGAGCCTGCTTGCCTGTTTATTCATTACAATAGCACCTTTGCCTGAGTTCCTACGCTACTTTTTTTTTTTTTTTTACTCATTGATACATCCTAGAGATGGATCTCCTTCCAATCAGCAGTCTTTAAATATCTTCTTCTTTCACTGTTTTGGAGTACTGGGGATGCATCCCAGGGCCTGTGCATGCTAGACAAGTGCTCACCACTGAGCTACATCCTGAATCCCACATTTTCTTTTCTACACAGAGAATTTCTTTTCTCAAATGCAACCACGCAGGGTCCCACAAAGGGGCAGTTGAGGTTGAGGTGGGAGGGGCCTGGCAACTGGAGAGGTGGGGAGAGGCTCCAAAGACAATGATGCCAAACCTCACTTCTGAGACTGGGGTTCCACTGCAGAGACCCCTCTGGTGGGCATCCTCAGCGTTTACTGAGGCTCTCAGGGCTTCTGTGCATAGCCAACTTGGGAGCCACCTCTGACAGCCACACGGTCAGGTCTTCCTGGTGCAGTGGGCCAACAGAGATGTGTGTGTGTGCGGGGTCATCTTCCAGTTATCTCTCCACCCGAGAGTGGGCCACATTGCTTACAGACTCAAGCTTCTTCTTCCTTTATGTTCAGTAATAATGTTTTTTTTTCCTTTTTACTGAGGTTATTGGTACAATCTAGGTATACAATACAATTACATTCATCATTGGGATTCACTTCCTGGTGGTGGGCCAACAGAGATGTGTGTGTGTGCGGGGTCATCTTCCAGTTATCTCTCCACCCGAGAGTGGGCCACATTGCTTACAGACTCAAGCTTCTTCTTCCTTTATGTTCAGTAATAATGTTTTTTTTTCCTTTTTACTGAGGTTATTGGTACAATCTAGGTATACAATACAATTACATTCATCATTGGGATTCTGTACCTTTACATAATAGGTCTTGATTCTCATTTTTCCCCTTGTCCCTGCCCTCCCTTC